TCAGAGATCAGGAGCGTGCAGAGCCAGTAAACCGTAGGTCTTTGAAGATGTTGCTTACCCTGAAAACAATTCAGGGAGTCAGTGGCGAGGGCCTTATAAGAATCTGCGTAGGGATTACAAGGATTGCCTATGACTCTTGTGCTGAATTGAGTGAGGGTCAAGAGGGAAGCTGGGAGACCATGTGAGCTGATAATGCTGCTGCTCAGGTAAGAGCCGCTGGTGGCTCATGGCGCAGCTGCAGTCAGGTGAGGGAGTGAGAGGCGCCACGGGCATGGCAGCTCATGAAGAGCAGCCAGAGGGCTCGCCCACTCTGCATGCAGGCTGAGAGGACAGATCTCAAGTCCAGGGCCTGGACATCGACAGGACCACGTATGCCTCCATGTGCGATAGTGAAGGGTGATGGGTGGACGGCGTGGGGGAGAAGATCAGAATCAGTTTGGTACGACAGTCTGAGGTATCTGTTACACACCCAGAGAGTGTCGGCGGCAGTCTGGAATTAGGAGAGACTGAACTCAAAATACAGCTTGGAGGGTCACCTGGGATGTAGTCGTGAGTTTGCTCTCACCCTTGCTCAGTATCTGTGATTTTTTGTTTAGAGAAGCCAAAATTTTTATCTCTTCTGGTGAAATTCAATTAAAACAACCGCCGGGACTGCATTTTTCCCCAACTATCATGATCCCTACTTTTCTAACACTCTCCCACGCCCTCTGCCCGGCCAGGAACTTCTCAGCCCAGCTAAAGCTAAATTACAAGGGAGGAATAATGACTCATCTTTCTGGAGGAAACTCAGGGTCCTTTGGTTCTTCCTAATGCCAGTCTGAGAGGACATGTTTCCTGCTGGAAGTATGCTCCCAGTGCAGTAAGCAATTGGACTCTGGTTTAAATTCTAAGAAATATCTCGCCTCTATCAAAGTGGATCATCTCCTGTCATCCTGATAAACTCTCCCTGGCTTTGAAAATTCTTTTTTTTTAATTCTTATGTAAACTTTATTTTTATGCTCAGAGATCATCTCTCTTAATAAAGTTTCATGTTAATTGATGTTGAGCATTTTTTCATATGTTCTTGGCATATCTGTCTTCTTTTGAAAGTTCTGTTTTATGGGTTTTTGCCTACCTTTTTAATGGGGTCGTTGATTTTTTTTTTCTTGTGATTTGCCTAAGTATATTTGTAGAGTCTAAGTTATCAGCCCTTTTGGATGAACGATGGGAATATTTCTCCCATTTTTCAGTTGTCTCTTCACTCTAATGATTGTTTCCTTGGCTATGCAAGAAGCTTAATTGATCAGGTCTCTTTATTATTTTTCTTTGTCGTGATTGCTTTTTAGGGTTTCTTCATAAATTCTTGCTACGCTAATGTCTATAGAGGTTTCCAAAATTTTCTCTTACAATTCTAGTTTTCCACACTTAGGTTTAAGTCTGTTATCACTGTGCATTGATTTTGGTGAGTGGGTGAGGAGGTGGTGCGGGATCTGTTTTTTAACTGTCTCCATGGGCTATGCTTCAGCTTTAAAGAGAAATATTTTTTCCCTTATCATCTCTCGTGAACAAGCAATACGCACCAAAAATACAAAACGGGCCTGAAGCATGTATCCCTTGGACGGCTGAGCTTCTACCAGCTAGAGTCCCTTTAGACCACTCTGGGTGACCTGTCTACCTCTATCTAGTTCCTGGATTGTCCAGCCCACCAGCACTGATGCTTTTCTCCTTTGGAAGATATTTTGATTTTGGAGGAATTATAAATTTTCATGATGGATAATGACTTTTGGCCTGCGATGTTTTATCTCCTTTGCTTCCAACTATTCTCTGCCTTCTTTCAATTGTGTTTTTTCATTTCCTTAAAGCTATGCCATTCTGCTGTTTATACGAGAACAGCTTCCAGTGTGTCGTGCCGACACCATTCTTAGCGTTTACTGCGGTGCATCTCGGTACTCGCTTACGCTGAGTCCATAAGTCTGAGGAAAGGTAGTATTTGTGTCCATGTGAAAGCGGTTTTGTAGACGTTGTGCAGGAAAGAAGCCACGTCCACCCAGATTCCGTTTTTTATATCAATTATCATGTAGCGTTTAGAAGGGTTAATGTTCAGAGTGTTATCTCATAGCAATTTGAATTAAGGGCCGTTACAGCAACTAAGAGAGTGTGCCCTCACATAATCACTCTTTTCGACCACAGTAGCTGTGCTGTGCTTTTTCTAGGTTCGTGTCTTCAGTCCTCAGTTTATGCACAAGTGGAGAGAAAAAGAAACAAAACACAGTTAAAATGGAACGATTAAAGAATATGGAATATATATCATAAAACTGCCCTTTTTAAACAAGGAAATTGGGCTCATGCATCTTTATATTCAAGCATTACTTTACAGATGAGTTTTGTCTAATCACATGTGCGTGACACAAAATGAACCAAGCTCGAGGCGGCCACAATGTCTCATTTTTGCTTTTTTGTGTTGGCCGCTGCGACGGTTCTGGAAACTACTGTAGGATTTCCCATACCCAGACTCGTTTTCTCCTCCCGGAGAGTACCATAATTGTTTTTTGAGCGACCAAAGGACGAATAGTTCTGGTCTACATTTTTGTTGCTAATTGGGTGTTATTACACTGCAAAATGAGTCGCACATGAGGCTTATTAAAGATGTGTTCAAAAGCTGCCCAGATGATTTTTCATTGGTATCCCCCAAGCCCTCCATTTACAGTTCCTCACTGTACTTGGTTAAAAATCTTGAGTTTTAACAGGTCATTTTAAAGGTAGGAATATATTTAGAAAATGGGGTGGTAATATAGGATGCTGTGGTCACAAAAATTAAGATTCTATTAGTTGAAAGTAAAGAGAATCACAACTCCGTAGCCTGATCGGAAACAGGCATTTTTCTGGAAGGATCTGGTTATGCTACAGAATCCAGTTAGATTAAGGGCAGCTGCGTGGCCCAGACATTGGGGCTGCAACCAAATCTCGAGAGCAAGAGCCGACACAGAAAGGCTTTGCGGGTGCCGTCTCTTCGCGCGGCCGTGTGCTGCAGGTTTTGTGTCCTGTTCTGTTCCTGCCGCACTGCAGGCGAACGTTCTTCTGCTGAGGACACAGCCAGGAATGTCTAAGTTTTGTTATCTTACAGCTTCGGCACCAAAAAGGCAACCCTGGGACTTCTTGGTGCTGAAACCAAAAGAATAAAGGATAAGCCTACTGGTATGGTTTGCTCAGTTTTCATGCTTAAATAATAATTTTTTTTGTTGGGCAGGGACATTGATACCATATATTTGCTGATCATGGAGAAATCTTGTGTGTGAGAGAGAGAGAGAGTGTGTGTGTGTGTGTGCACGCGTGTGTGTATGGGGGAAGTAAGTGGGATGGGGCAAAAGCAGGTATAGGAGTCACAGAAGAACTTGGTAGCTCTAGCTCTCGAGGTTTCCTTTCAGGGCAAGCCGGAAGAGGAGCTCCTACCTCGGATCTTGTAGATGGGGGCCCGATGCTCTGAGTTTACGGCACTCCCTCCACGGCAACAGCTCAGAGGGGGACAGGGACTGCAGGTCACCTGAGTGACAAGCTTTGTTCCTTTCATCTCCCCAAGACCAGGAGAGCGGTGTGGAACCAAGAGGAAGTATAGAATTGGAAAGGGAGTGGAACACATTTTTTTTATTGGTTGGTTGGGTTTTTGTGAACGGATGCCAACGCAAAATTCAAAATCGCTGGGTATTTTTTCCTGTTCTTTAAGCCATAGTTGGAGCCATGAAGTTATCAACAAACTTTTCCCAAACACAGCTGTCGCACAATTGTATGTTTGCTGTGCTGAGCAGAAAATTTCTAATAATACGTCTGAACATATGCAGGGATATTAGTTTCTGGGCTTTGAAACAATCTCTGCTGGAGGGTTTTCCACCTATATAGGACATTTAGAGTAAATCATCCTACTTTTGCTGCCGCAGATTGTCAGAGGCTCCGCAATGAACCCATTTATTGTATTATGCCACTTCTGCAACTCCATGGCTAGAACCTCTCTCTTTTTAAATTCATAGAATTTTTTTTCTTTGCTCTCTCAGACTCTATGAAGATTGTTTTCAAGAATTACAGTATTTATCATTGCTTTTACTCCTAATTTTATTCACTACATTTAGTGAGCACTTGCCAGGCCATCTCGTAGTGGCAGGAGTCTAAGAGGCGCAGAGAATGACCCACAGGCTCCAGGCAATAAATGATATTGGGACTCAGATATCAGCCTCCCAAAGGAGTGAGCATTGCCTTCCCCCTGCAGTCCAAGTAACTCTTGATATTTTTCCTTCCCACCATTTCTGAAATTTATAGAATGTGTATTTTATTTTGTTATATTGATGCTTCATATCTTAAATTTTCCCTTAATCTTATCCCAGTCTATTTAAAATCTTTTTTGTCCACATGATTCATTGTAGTTTTATGATATGGCCTATTAACTTTGTGTACTACATGTTTCCTAATTTTCTAATGTTGGACGCTTACATTGATTTACCATTGTGAATATCATCATTGTGAATAACACTAATTAACATATATAGTTTTTATATTTTAAACACTATCCTTAAGAGACAGTCATCTAAGTGTGTTATTAATTCAAATTATATGAATGTTTTGGAGAATTCTTAATGCAAGTGGTGAAAATATTTTTTTGAATAGCTGTATTGTTTTGACCATAAGTCAAGACAACCTTATTTTAAGAATGGCATTTGGCACTTTTAAAAATGATAGAATTTCTTTGTATGTTAGATGAATGGGTATCCCCTTTACAAATTTCATGTTCCCCTTGTGTAGTTTAAAATAGACACTTGGCCATCCCCTAAAAGAGGAGCATGAGGCCAGTGACCTCAATTATCTGACCCTCTCCTCTTTCCCTTAAAGATGCAAAACCATTCAAAAATGTAAAAGTATTATGTTTATACATTTTGTTCTATTGTAAATGGAAAACCTCACGGATTGTGAACACTTCAAACTAACTTTAAGTCACCACAAATTTGCCCCAATATTAAAATCCTTTACTTAAATACCTAAATCCACTCTGAGACTTCCATTATCCACTAAAGCAAGGTAGAGCTGCTTCTTGCGGTAAAACCATAATGATGCGGAAAATGTCGGCGCCGGGACGCGGCCACTTGCCGCGTCCTCCTAGCTCCGCATCTCCGCGGGCCAGCGCAGCCTGTGGCCAGTTGGAGGGCGAGCTGCTCGGGCGGGCCCTGAGGCTTAGTGCCGCTGGGGCCCTGCGTGCTCGAATGCTCCCAGGCCTGCGTGCCACTGCCTGTTTCTGGCCACGCTGCTTGCGTGATCCTGAATGGGTAATTTTTGAATCCCACTGTTTTGATTGGATGTTAAAGCTTGTTGTTGATTGGATGTTAAAGCTTGATGTTGATTGGATGTTAAAGCTTATAGTTGATTGGACACTTTTTGAGCCCTACCAAGGGTATAAAAGCAGGAGGAGAACAAAGCAGAGGGGGCAGAAGAGTCAGAAGATCGGAAGACGGGAAGGGAGCTTTAATGCTAGGTGTGCTGAGCTTGCAGTAGACGAATAAAGGCTGTTCGCCAACTCTTCGTGTTCCGCTCAGTTCTTTCCCTGGTCAAATGAATAAGAGCTGTAACAAGAGCTGTAACGCTAGCTGTACACACTGCTGCAACAATAATATTAGTATTATTTTGATGTCATTTAAGTCTGACATAGGTATACAAGTACAGCAAATTAATTTCCATTATTAATTCATGCAGTTGGCTACCAGACATTTTTGTTTTCCCCTTTATGTCAACTGATTGGGTTTACTTTGTTTACTTTTGTGTTTTCTTCCATTAGGTGTTTGCCAAACTTCTGTGAACACGGAGGAAGCTGTTCCCAGTCCTGGACTGCTTTCTATTGTAACTGCAGTGACACAAGTTACACTGGTGCCACCTGCCATAACCGTGAGTAGATTTACAGTTTGCAGACAAAAGAGTTAGCAGAACTTCAGGAATACCATCGTTAATGTCAGGATGTATATGGCGTGGGGTGGGAACTTTTTATTCATTTATTCAACATGTGTTTTTGAGAGAATACTATCGGCCAAACACTGTGGTGGGCACGGGGAATACATGGATATAGGCCGTGTGCTCACGGAGTTCCTGATCTAGCAGCAAGACAAACAGGAAATGAGGCAATGGCAATACAGCTGAATGTGTGTTGAGGTAGAGGTAACACAAGGGAGACTCTTAATTCAATTGCGTTGTCTTGGTGGCCTTAGTCATGCTGCTGTAATAGACAACATCTCAGTGCTCTAAGTAACAAGTGGCCATGCCATATCTATGTTACATGCCCATCACACATTGGTAGGGGCCCTTCTTCCAAACTGTCTTCATTCCTGGATGGTAACACAAGTTCCATCATCTGGAATGGAAGTATGGTAGGGAGACAGAAACAAAGGGAAGGAAGCTAGCATGTGCTAGCTTTTAAAAGCCCCTACCTAGAAGTAGCAAACATGACTTACACTCCCACATTCCAGTGGCCAAATAAAGTTGCATGGGCACACCCAACTTCAGTAGGAGCCACGATGCGATTTTACTGCAGAATGTGAAACAACAGATCAGGAGTTGGTGATAAGTGCTGATGGCTACCTGTCAATTTCAGTGTTACAGCAACTCCATATAGAAAGTCTGAGCTGATCTTGTAGTAGGAATATGGCATGAGTTGGGGGGAGGGGAGAAAGAAAAAGGATACTTAGAAGAAAAGAAACAAATGGAGACATAAAACATTATGGTCTTCTGCAGAAACTCTGAATCTGCAAGTACTGGTAGTTCCCCAGGGCTGGGGGATGCTGAGGTGAGGGGGAGTGGGGACAAGGGGCAGAGTGAGGGAGGCTAGGCTGTACCAACAATGAGGAATAAGGAGCAAAAATAAGTGAAGAATATGAGCCCAGATTCTTGTAACTTTATTACCTCATTGGGACCACCAAGCAAAAACATATGACAAAATAGAGAAGAGCCTCCATTTGGAGAATTGTATGCCTAACTGGGTGAAATACCCTAAAGTGTTATTGAGAAAGGCATATCTGAAAGTTCTGGCTGTAGTTGTAGGAGATATCATGGAAAATGAGAAATTTGAAATTGGCTTAGAAGGTAGAGGGTTGAGAGAAGGATCTTTTAGAAAGACGTGAGATCCAAGCCAAGGCCTGGAGCTATTCTGAGCACTCCAGTGAGAACCGTCACCCGGGGAAGGATCTCACGGGTTTTTCTGGCGTGTCTGCTGTCGTGGGGCTGGCACTCAGGGATGCAAAGGAGACGTGGTGGGTGCCAGCCGGGCTGGAATCAGACAGATTAAGGATGGGCAATGTTGACAGTCTCCCCCTAGAAAGCTCTCAGCCATTCCATGGCCTCTACTATGCATTGGAACACGCATTTACCAGTGATGCCCATGGGGGAGTCTGATCCATCAGAGAAGAAACGGGCCACTGGCCATCAGGGGATGATGTCATTTCTGTTAATTGCCTGGAGAAATGAAAAACATTGTTTGCTTTTGTAATAAAATATCTTATTTAAATGTTTCTATGTCAAAATTTGGAACAGTGAAGAGAACAGTGTAATGAGAGAGATTAAATTGAAATTTCACCTAGCTCTTATACTTCTAGCACTTCAAAGTTCCTTTTCTCCTCACAAATCCTATCAAGGAGAACTAATTCTTGTGGGCTAATCTAAGGTTAAAATTACATGATTTACCTAAGATTCCCAGTAAATACCAATCTATAGGTTTTCATCTGGTTCTAGTAATACTAGCCCCAAATAGCCAAGAGCAGCATGTGCCTGTGCAGAGACACTGCAGGACGCACACCGGACTGCCCGGAGAGTCAGGGCAGAGCTGCTGTGAGTGGGCAGAGCAGCTGGGACGGACATTCATTTAATAACAAGAAGGCAGAACCCTGAAGAAGATTTAAGTCAAAGCAAACCAAATTTCAGCCAAATCACAGTATGACATTCCCTTATTCTGCTCATTTTTTCCAAAAGTAATGTAACAATTTTTTGAGGCGTTCATTTCTATGGATGCTGCTCTTCTTTAATTTACTCCATCTATCAGGCTAAAAATAGAAAATTTCTAGCTTTTTTTTTAAAAAAGTGTGAAGTTGAAAATCAATGGAGGTGAAGTGCTGATTTTTAAAGGAACACTGTCAAGGCTGGTGAGCAAGATACGCAACATACAAAGCCTTAAAAATATCATTATTTTTAACACCTTCCCATTCCCCTTTCTGTGAAATTGCTCCATGCCTACGCTGTGGGCTGCAACTTTGTGAAACTTTGTCTTCCCTTCTGGGCACCCAGCCAGGACAAATCAAAAGCACTTGGATATCTGTGACGTTTGTCAAGCACACCTTGGATGCCCGTGCAACTCAAAAATTTGTCTTCCCTCTAATTAATTTCCTTGTCCCCTGGTTGGGTGAGGACTATTGTTTTGAGTCACTTTTTAAATTGATGAATCAACGGGTGCTTTCATAACCTCCACAAGCATGTGCCCACACAGGGACAGGAGAGGAGAGAGCTGCTGAAATGCAGATGGTACCCAGGATGCCCCCAGCTAGAAACAGAAACAAGCAAGCCTGCAGTCCCCACCCTGTAGAAATGACGGAATCCTTGGCATGTTGAAACGTGTTTATGGAAGCTATGGTCCACGATCAGAACAATAAATTCAAGTTCTTGAGATGGAGAAAATAGTTATAATATGTAAAACTGATCATTTTTTGAGTAGTCCCTTAGTTTTTTCAAGCTCTTTGAAGATAGGCATTTTGTTTTTGTTTTTACATTGGTACTTTTCATTTAGTAAACGTGAACTGCCTTAGGGCAGAGGGGATTAACTTCCTTTTGTCCAGCCTTGTGGATAAGGGAGGAGGCTGGGTGAGGGTGGGCACGGTGGAGCCTGCCAGTCTTAGACACAGCCGGCTGCTGTTGAACGGGGAGATATGTTCATTCCATCTCAATTTTCTTTCCTCCTTAGCTGAAGACACATACAAACTTGGGTATTTACATTTATCAAAATCAACTCTTTAAGAAGGAGGAGATGAGTGTGTGGGCAATTCCTATCCAAACTGTGGCAGCTTCCCTGTATGAGGAGAAAACTTGGGCCATCACTTGCCCCAGAAAGTGCCACCGGACACTATTTTATGTTGTCTATGTCGTTAGGGTTAGGAAATTTCTCCTTGAGGTTGTATCCTATTCAACAGAGGTAAACAATGCCTGCAGGCCAGATCAAGCCCTGGCAACCCAAGCAAGGTTCAGTGCCTTGAGACCACCAGAGTCAGCTGTATACAGTGTGCAAGTTCAGAAGGTTGCATAATTGAAGCCAAACTGCTAAGTAGTCAGGGTAGATCTTGCTCAGTGTATATGATATCCACCTTATTAGGAATACAAATTAAGATTTAAAGGAATAGGTTTTGACTGTGGAAGATTAGATAGAAATCTATATATCAACAAAATGATAGAGTGAGATGAATAGTATTATTATCCCCATTTTACAGATAAGGACATTGAGGCATGGAGAAGTTACATAGCTTCCACAAGGCTGCACAGGTAGTAAATGGTGAAGGCTGGGACTGTAGCCAAGAGAACATGGCTGCAGATGCCAAAGTTTTAATCCCTACATCTTATTTCTTCCCTCAAAGAAGTAAGGCATTTGCAAACTTCTGTATATAAACTTGGTGATGGGACATTCATGACATCCTTATATTGCTTGAGACAGTAGGAAAGTGTGAGCTCATAATGGAAAATGCAGTTCTACAAGACTGAAAGGTGAAAAGTTTCTGAGTTCTAGAATAATCAGGAAAACACTGTGGAAGGAAGTAGAATGACTTAGGACTTGAAGGACAGTGAAAATTGGAATCGATGAAAAGAAAAGTAAAGCCCACTGAAAACAGGGGAATTGCCAAAGGCTAAGACATGATGATGGTAGGAATATATAAGCTATGTTGTGGGACATTACAAGTGTTTGACTCCAGTAAGGAACACATGAATAACTCTAGCCATTCATTCCTAAAACCCAGATGGGATTCCTGTAAAGCACTTTCCCCTAGAAAAAAATCAGAGTGCACTTCCCAAAGCTTTTCACATGCCATTGCAACATCTAAAAATATCACTTTAATAACTACATAATAAAGAGTCCAGTGACATTTTTGTTTTAATACTCAATCATTTTAATATTTTTTGTGGGGGAGGAGTCCTGTGTTGTTTCCAAGTATTTATTGTTGTAATTAACACGATGTTGAACATCTTTGTGCTTAAGTAATTTTAACCTCACAAGTTCAATTATTTGCTTAAACTAGCCTCAGAAATGGCATTATTGAGCCAAAGATTTTTAGTAGTTTTAAGGGCCTTGACTTGTATTTCCAACTTGCCTTCCTAAACTCTTAGTATAGTTTATACCCTGATCACTATTTTCTGAGACCTTGTTTCACCTTCCCTGCAATATTGTTTACTGTAACATACAACACTTTTTGGCCTTTTTTCGGTATCAGTTGCATATTGAGATGGATGTTACTATTGATCCTCATGGTGAGCTCCAGATTTTTTTTTTAAAGTGGTTTTTCTTTAGATGACTTGTATAATAGGAGTAAGATTATTTCCACAGAATTCTCTTTTATCACTCAACAAGTACCTTTTAAAAGCACATCTGGTATCAGTAACTATGAATTTAATGATTATTCTCACATTGCACAGATTCAATAAGTGATTCAAACACTTACTTATCATCCTCTATATATGTCTTCTTATGTAGGACTGTCCTTGATCTTCTCAATATCTTCGTCTGACTATATTCACGTGGGCCCTGCTCAAGGTCCCTTCACCATTTCTCAGCCTCTGCTAATCCCTTTCACAGTGTAGCTTCTCTGACATCCTAACAATGCCCTTTAGCTCATTTTTCAACTTTGCAAGAGGATATCAGCTTTCTT